AGCAACTAGATATTCGCGTGCCCATCCCAGTGGGACATCTGCTCACCATATCTGAAGTGGCGAACGATAAGCTTCTACAACATTGCCAGAAAAATCAAAAGCGTTTCACCTATCAACGCATACAACGGATGTTGAAGAAGAAAGAAGAAAGCGAGGAAGTTGCACCCCCTGAGCCTGACACGAAAGAGCCGGAACCCGAAGCCGCACGCATAGCAGCGATCTCTTTAGCAGAAAAAGATCACTTCGTATGAGCTCGGCCGGTATTGTGGAAAAGTGCGGAATGTGACTGTGAAGTTTGGGGCAAGCCGTTTAATGCCCTTGTTGACACAGGGTCTTCTACCGTGGCCATATCATTGGATACTGTCAAAAAGACGGGACGACTGGGATCCATTCTTCCTCAATCTGGCAAAGACAATTATGTCTCTGCCGACGAGGAGGCAATGAACATCGTAGGCATTATCGAGAACACGTCCTTGTTAACGCGCTCGTAATAGATGTACGTTCCTATTCTGTGTTATTGGGATTACCTCGGGCGATGGCGGTAGGCGCACGTCTGCATTTCGATTCAAGACAATTGGTACTCACGCAAACTGGGGGAAAGCCTCAAATTGTCCCTTTGCGAGTTTCCACCCGAACAATAAAACGAGTCCCTAACTCGGCCCAAATTGGGATGATTCGATGCATTGATCCCGATGAGTGCTCTCCCTCGGACATCAGTGATGGAATCAGGGAACAGGAATACGAAGAAGAGCTGCCCAACGAAGATGAATGGAAGCACCTGGTTGAACTTTTCGAACACGAAATTCCTGAGGAATTCCAAGTGTGCCCCGACCTTGCTCGAAGTTTCCACGTTGATCCCGGAGACAGCGCGCTTGAGCCTCCGATAACTCAAGTTAGTCCTTCAGTGCTCCTCGGGGAACCCATATTGCAAGTTTCCGATCTGGCTGATGATTTGGAACCCCCTCGCACCTTGTACGAGGGAGCTCTCTCCTTACGAACGCGTTATCAGCAAACGGAACAGTATGTAGACGTTTCTGTTTTTCCACCCCGATCGTTACTAACGACAGGAGCCACCATCGCCTTGATTAAACAAGAGGCGGAAGCACCGGTAAGTGATGTACTTAATCTGACGCAAGAAATGACAGATCTAACAGGGCTAACTGTGGAACCGACCTCGGTTGGTTCAGAAACTAACGCTGAAACTAAAGAAACAGAGATGATCAGCCCTGCTGAGTCCCAGATGATAGCAACTGTCTTCTCTGTTCGCACCAGTAGTTCCGTTTTTTCTAGTGTCCATGATCGACGGGAACGACCGGTTGATTGGATCGATATGCCCCTTAAGATTTTCGGGGAATCAACCATCACCTTGCCTGGTCACGTTCCCGCGGAACTTCGGAAATTGTTAATTCGTGTGTTAAATGGCTACGAAGAATAATTGAGCATACACAATAACGACATCGGTTTAACTCCTGTGATCGAGCATGACATTCTCACGGGAGATCATCCACCCATTAGCTGCGCTCCCTACCGATACTCGCCAGCTCAAAGAGCGGCCGCTTTTCAGCGGATTAAGGAGTTTGAAGCTAATGGATGGATCGAACCCGCTATAGGTCCATGGTCTTTCCCTGTAGTGATCGTACCTAAAAAGGCTGGAGGGATTCGCATTTGCATTGATTATCGAAAGTTGAATGATATCACGATCAAAGATGTGTATCCCCTCCCCCGGATTGATGAGTTGTTGGATGCGATTGG